AAAAGAAAGCAAGCTATGTCCTAATCCAAAACGTCCAAAATTGCAATCATTCAGTTACTACCTTCATGATATTTGCCATAACTAAGTACCACCTATAAAACAATTTACATAATTTTCTTTCAATAAAATGACATTTACTCAAAAATCTGTAACACTATCTTAAATGTAAAATCAGTTAATACACAAGAAATATGGATATGGCAAAATACTGACAGGGGTACTCAAGTAAATGAAATTTGAGAAACTCGGGACTGCAAAAAAAAACAGTGGCCAAGCAGAAAGTGCAGCACCCAAAAAATCAAAGACAAAAGGCAGTAAACAGGGAATGAACACTAGGTCTGGCTGAGCCCAAAGTGTCTGAACAAGTTCCTGCCTTGTTCAGAACTGAAGTCTCACTTGTCTTATTCTGCCCTGCAATTCCAGAATATCTGTGGAGATGCCTAAGAATCCTAGAGATGGAAATGTAAAGATGGGCTCAAGTGCCAGGAAAGGTATATCTTTTCTTTATCCAAGTTTGGGTACACAGGTTGTAAAAGAGCAAGGAGTAAATGGCAGACCCAAAGCAGTGAGAAGCCTGCTGGTAGCCCTACTCCAAAATATAGGGGCCCATCTAACTGAAGCCAGGATAGTATATCTATGAATTATCCACATATTGGTCAATAAATTGTAGAAAAATTGAGGTTTGCAATCACAGTTCCTCTCCAGGGTTCACAAAGTCTGTCACCCATGTTTTTGCCTTTTCCAACGTTTAAGAAAATCTGAGTATTTGCCTTTCTGAGTCTGATACTTTAATGTTGTCGCAGGCATACTCAAAAACTACCAATAATTGTTCACATCTTTGCTAATCAGAAAATACATGTATTATGGTAAAAATGAGTAGTTTGTAGCCAGGTGTGGTGGCAGGCGCCTGTAGTCCCAGCTACTCGGGAGGCTGAGGCAGGAGAACCGCTGGAACCCGGGAGGCAGAGGTCGCAGTAAGCCGAGATCCCACCACTGCACTCCAGCCTGGGCGACAGAGCAAGACACCATCTCAAAAGAAAAAACAGTAATTTGAAGAGCAATATAGACATTTTATAATTCTAAATTGTTTAATAAGATTTTCAATTCTGATTACTTCTATATATACTGCCATGAATATGTCAACCAAGTTATTTATTTTCTCTCATGAAAGTGGCATGCTCGATTGAAAATACTGAAACTCGTCTCTCTTTTCCAATACTGTATTAAAAGCAGTCCTAATGCATACAAAAATCTTGACAAATTAAATACGATGTCTGAAACTTGCTTCAAAACAATTTAGTGGGGAGGTAACTTTTATGGAATAATACTGCCTATGTATAATGTATAGCTAATTTTTGAAATAGATTGATACATAGCAGTTCATCATACTATTCTCTTTTGTGTATGTTTTAAAACATAAAATGAACTTATTACTTTAAGAAGTTATCATTTTGGCAAAACTTCACGAAATCTTTAGTGTTTCATGTCACAGAAGAAAAAGTCTTTCCATAAATAATTTCTTTCTAATAATTTTCTTTGAGACAGAGTCTCGCTGTCTTGCTCAGGCTGCAGTACAGTGGCACGATCTTGGCTCACTGCAACCTCCACCTCCCAGATTCAAGCAATTCTCCTGCCTCAGCCTCCTGAGTAGCTGGGACTAGAGGCACATGCCAGCATGTCCAGCTAATTTTTTGTATTTTTAGTAGACACGGGGTTTCACCGTGTTAGCCAGAATGGTCTCGATCTCCTGACCTTGTGATCTGCCTGCCTCGGCCTCCCAAAGTGCTGGGAGTACAGGCGTGAGCCACCGTACCCGGCCTCTAATAATTTTTAAAGCTAGCTCCATCACTGGACTGCAGATCTTTTCACTCTTTGTATTTCACAAGACTCACAGCCCATCAGTGAAAGCCAAACATGTTTGTGAAAAAGGTTAGCTACAAATGCACCACGGAATACCATGCAGCCATAAAAAAGAACAAAATCAAGCCCTCTGCAGTAACACGGATGAGCTGGAGACCACTGTCCTAAGTGACTTAACGTGAGAAAAGAAAACCAAATACTGTGTGTTCTCACTTATAAGTGGGAATTAAACAGTGAATACATGATGGTAAAAGTTGCGAACAACAGACACTAGGGATCACTAGACCAAGGGGGGCATGGGCTGAAAAACCACCTGTTGTCTACTGTGCTTATGGCCTGTGTGTGTGATGGGATAGTTGGGACCCCAAGCATCAGCATCAAACAATTTACCCATGTAACAAATCTACACATGTACCCTTTACCATATAATAAAAGTTGAATAAAAGTTGAATTTAAAAAAAAGTTACCATCCAGCAGAAACTGCAAACAGAATTTTATTAAGTTTTGCTATGCCAGCCATTTACAGTTTTCTCTTCTACAATTTCAGAAATGCCAATTACACAATGGATATCAGATTGTACCCTTAGAGAGAATTCTATTAAACTTCTCCCTAAATAATACCACCACTTTCTAAGTGTTTAAATAGCATTCACATGTGATTCCCAAAGAAGTTGTTTCTCCTTTAAAACTAATCTGGGCTGTGGTCAGAGATCAGCATGGCCAGCATGGCGAAACCCCATCTCTACTAAAAATACAAAAAAAATTAGCCGGGCATGGTGGTGAGCGCCTGTAGTCCCAGCTACTCAGGAAGCTGAGGCAGGAAAATCGCTTGAACCCAGGAGGTGGAGTTTGCAGTGAGCCAAGATTGCCCCACTGCACTCCAGCCTGGGTGACAGAGTGAGACTCGGTTTCAAGAAAAAAGAAAGTGAAAGAAATGACAGAATCTCAAGTCCCTTCATCTTACTTATCTTTAAAACATTCCTGCAGCTAATTGAAGAGATTAATGGCCTTACTATAAATCTTTTAGGAGTTCTTAAAATACCTATGAAGCACGAAGGGCAAACATTTTTAAAGTCCGTTTAGAATACTTCATCCTTTGGACCCCAGTCACCAAAATTTATTTTAAAACACATTTGTACAGTACTGCTGATTACATTTCCATGGTTGTTTGACCTGAACAACCAAGTGATTAACCATAATGCTATGGTCTGCATGTTTGTGTTCTTCAAAATTCGTGTTGAAATTCTAGTTTCCAATGTCATATTAGGAGGTGGGGCCTTTGGGAGATGACTGTATTACAAGGGCAGAGTGTTAATGAATGGGATAAATGCCCTTATAAGAGGCCAGAGAGAGACCCCTTCACCCTTGCACCATGTAAGGAGACAGCTAGAGGGTGCCATCTATTAACCAGAAAGCAGACTATCACCAAACACTGAATCATCAGACATCTTGATCTAGGACTTCCTAGCCTCCAGAACTGCAAGAAATGAATTTCTGTTGTTTATAAGCCACTCAGTCTGAGGTATTTCGTTATACCAGACCCAAATGGACCAAAGACACATAGAGAATATTTGTAATGCAGCTCAAGGGAGTGTGAAGAAAGAAGGAAAAGAGCATTTGTTGAGGGCTTACCATGGGCCAGGAACAGTTCTAAATATTTAAAAACACCTAATTTATTACTATCAACAAATTTATGAGGTGGATATTATTCCTACTTTACAGATGAGAAAGGCTCAGAAAAATTAATTTGCCAAAAACAAGTGGTGGAGCTGAGATTCAAACTCAACTCAATCTGCCTTCAAAGCCATCAGATTACTTCTCCCACAAAGACAACCTTCCAAAACACATTAAAAATTGACTCTTTGATTGATAACAAATTATTTAGTGAATATCATTCTTCATTTCAAGTGGCATAAATCATCTGCAACCAACAAACTTTGAGGAAAAGTCATAGTTAACAGAAATAATAGAAGGGACAGAGCACCAGAATAGGCCAGAGTAGGACAGTGGTCAGACTACTAACCTTAGGTCAGAAAACTTAATACCAGATTTACCACTCACCAGCTGGTGATCTAAGGCAAATAATAACCTTTTGAGCCCCCGTTTTTCCATTCATAAAATAAGCATTACTCCTAGCCCACCCATCCTTCTACCACAGATTTAAGAAGATGAAAAGTTAATGATGAAATTAATCCACAAGCTAAGACAAACTATAATTCATATAAGGAATTAGTATCTGTTTGGTAAAATGACTATTAGTGAAGAGCTATTTTCACGGAAGATAACTTATCACAACTAGAATAAGAGATGCAGTCCACCAGCAACAGGAAGCTGCTCACAAACAGGTGGCCTCATCTCAGCGGGGGCCCCCTTAACAACAGCACATGTTGCTCTGAGGACCAGTTTTGTGTCTGCTTTCTAACAATCCCGTTCCTCCCTGCTGCCGTTCCCACGAACGAGACTGGAAAACGGTGTAGGGGAAGGCGCGAAGGAAGTGCTGGGAGAAGAGCAGCAACAGAGGCAGGAGGCTGGGTCCCACAACTCCCAGGTGCGAGGGGCTCTTCACTCCTCCAGGCCTCAGCTCACGCATCTGGAAGACGGAGAGGCCATTCCTGCCCTGTTTCCTGGGCAGAGCTAAGATCAGAGTACAGGGAAAGTACGGTAAACCCCGCTGAGAATGAAAGATGACGATGACGATCACCTGTCAAACGAAGGGCGGCTCCTCCAGGAGCCCCTCGCATTTAGACATTCCAGAAGCCTCGTCACCCGCGGCCGGGGCTGCCCCCAAGTGAGGTGACGCGGCAGCCCCCTACTCATCCCTCAGACCGCGTAGTGTGCGGGGTCTTACGTCCCTAACACCCCAGATGAGCCCGCAGAGGAGGCCCGGACGCGGCTCACTCCCGCCCCCGTCCCAAGGCCTCCGAGGCCGACCTCTGAGCCCTCCCCAGGCTACCGCGGCTCCCCTCCCCCAGCAACGATCCCTGCCCCGCTCCACCCGCACTCCCAGGTGAGGGGAGGGGGTGAAAGGGCGTACCCCGCCGCCATTTTGTCCCCTAGTCCCCGGAAGGCATTCAGACGGCCCGCGCCCCAGCCCGGACCCGCCCGGGTCTGCGCTACGCACGCCCCTCGCGGACACTCACCCCCCGGCCGCCCTGCGCAGTTCGAAGCGGCTCAGAGCGTCCCGCCGGGAAAGGGGCGGGGCGGGGCGGGGCGGGGCAGGGAGGCCTGGGAGAGGCGGGGTGGCTTCTAGACGCACCACGTGATCTCAGCCGCTGCCGCGCCGCTCCCGGCTGCAAGAGCTGTGTAGTCCGCGCGCAGGCGCACGTCGGTTCGCGCCGTTGGGGCGCCCAGAGGGGAGTTCGGACAGTTGATTTGGTTCGATGTCCGGGCGCGGCTTTTCTGAAGCTGTTTCTTTTCCTAGGTTAAGCTTACACCGCCGCTTTTGGTCACACAGGTCCTTCTCGTACTCAATCTCTTCCCTCCGCCTGCCTTATCACCACAGTCAATCCACAGATTAAGGATTCAGAGGCGCGCCTCACAGAAATCTGTACTGGTGAAAGCACTTGGCAGAACACGCCGGGCTGCGCTGAACACAAGTAGGCCTTCTAGAGGCTTTATCAGGGCCTTTCTGTGTGCCAGGCTTGGAAGGTCGAAGTACAGAGACCTAACAAAATACGTTTCATCTACTTCAAAGACAAACGCATGATGAATTAAATACTTTAACATTTAAATTGGTCTAAACAAAATAGAAAAAGATTCAATGCAGACCGTAATTATCAAACGAATATTCCCTGTCCCTTTTCATCCAGCTGGGAAACAGCTCTTTGCACTTCCCTCTCCCTCCTCAGCCGCAGTAGGCCGGAAGTCCTGGACCCACAAGTCCTGTGGGGGCAGGAACCATATGGCTATGTTCTGGCTCCCTTCGTCTCTTGCCTTCTTAGGAAACTCGCTTTTTCATTTATTCAGCAAATGTGTATTGACCACATGCTATGTATCAGATGGTATTCTAGATGCTTGGAGTTAATACGTGAGCAAAATAAACAGAAATCTCTAAAAAAGCCTCCGACTTCTTGGAGCAGGGTGAAACCAGGCAAGTGTTACATCAAGTTTAGCCAAAAGCTGAGTCCTTACATATTTTAAGTTCAGCCTGAAACTTTCTCCCTAAATAGTGAACTATAACCTAAATGGAGGTGTAAACAGACTGCAGCCTACTCTTGGGCCAATCACCAAGTTTTGGCCAAAGGCGGCCAGCTGTTCAAACCGTGTTCAAATAAGGTAAAGGTCTAGCTATAACCAATCCGGCTGTTTCCCTACCTCACTTTTCTTTCTCTATCTATAGACCTTTCTCCACCATGTGGCTCTGCGGGAGTCTGTGTGAACCTACTCTGGCTCAGGAGGCTGCCTGATTCGGGAATAGTTCTTTGCTCAAACTCTGTTTAATTTGGCTAAGGTTTTGCTTTTAACACAAGAAATAGTAAACACAATAAATAAGTAAATTCTATAACATGCTAGGCACGACAGTAAACAAAATGAGCAGGATCAGAGGCATAGAGTAGGGAACGTACTACAATTCCATAAAAGGTGGTCAGGACCTCATTTCTTAACTATCCCCGCCTCCTTTCATACCCATAAGCATGTAAACAACCTGAAGTCTCTCCCGTCTTTAAATCTCTCACCCAACCTACCACACTCCACTTCAACCTCTGCTTTCTTTCCTATAATACATTTATCCAATTATCTAAACAAGAGTGCCTCCAATTCTTCAACCACTACTCAAGTCTGGACTTACTGCACTCTGATTTCTGCCCCACCAACCCACTGAAACCATTCTTTCCAAAGTCACTAGGGGCCAGCCGCCGTGGCTCACGCCTGTAATCCCAGCACTTTGGGAGGCTGAGGCAGGTGGATCCAGGAGTTCGAGACCACCCTGGCCAAAAATGGTGAAACCCCGTGTTTACTAAAAATAAAAAATAAAAAAAAATAGCCAGGTGTGGTGGCGCACACCTATAGTCACAGCTACTTGGGAGGCTGAGGCATGAGAATCCCTTGAACCTGGGTAGCAGAGGTTTGCAGTGAGCTGAGATCATGCCACTGCACTCCAGCCTGGGTGACAGAGCGAGACTCTGTCTCAATTTAAAAAAAAAAAAGAAAAAAAAGTTGGGCTGGGCCGCTGGCTCCCGCCTGTAATCCCAGCACTTTGGGAGGCCGAGGCGGGCAGATCACAAGGTCAGGAGATCAGACTATCCTGGCCAACATGGTGAAACCCGGTCTCTACTAAAAATACAAAAATTAGCTGAGTGTGGTGGCATGTGCCTGTAATCCCAGCTACTCAGGATTCTGAGGCAGCAGAATTGCTTGAACCAGGGAGACGGAGGTTGCAGTGAGCTGAGATCACGCCACTACACTCCAGCCTGTCCAGAGAGTGAGACTCTGTCTCAGAAAAAAAAAGTTATAGGGATTTCCCTACTGTATATCTTATGGACATTATCATCATTACCTAACTTAATTTCTCTTCATGACACTCCTTCCTTCTGGAAATACTTTTCCTTGCCTTCCATTTTTACTCTCTTGGTAGCACTTCTCCATCTCTATCCACTCCCTCTCCATCTCTTTTAAAGTCTCTCTTCTTTCTTCCAGACTTTAAATATTGGTATCCCACAGGAATAGGTGTAAGCCTTCAATCTTTTCCTACTGGACACACTCTCTATGTGACCACTGCCTTTTACATAACTTTGATTAGCATCTATATGCTCTGCATTTCCCAGTATGTATCCCCAGCCCTGATTCCTGCTCCTGGGATCCAGGCCACATGGTTAACTACCTACTGGTCATCTCCACTCGAGTTAATAAAAATAATTATGACAAAAACCATTCCTCTTTCTTATATACATATAAAACAGCTTTATTGAGATATAACATACATATAAAACAGCTTTATTGAGATATAACATACATACTATACAACTTTCTCACTTAAATTATACAAATCAGTGGTTTTTAGGATAGTCACGGAATTGTGCAATCATCACTGCATTTTCTTCACCCCAAAAAGAAACCCAGTACTCGCGTCTCCATTTTCCCTCAATTCCCTCAGCCATAGGCAACCACTAATCTACTTTTCTGTGTGCATAGATTTGCCTATTCCAGACATCTCGTATAAAGGGAGTCATGAAATGTGGTATTTTGTAACTGACTTCTTTCAGTTTGCATATTTTCATGGTATGTTGCCGGGCACAGTGACTCACACCTGTAATCCCAGCACTTTGGGAGGCCAAGGCAGGCGGCTCACAGGGTCAGGAGATCGAGACCATCCTGGCTAACAAGGTGAAACCCCATCTCAACTAAAAAATAGAAAAAATTAGCCGGGCATGGTGGGCGCCTGTAGTCTCAGCTACTTGGGAGGCTGAGACAGGAGAATGGCGTGAACCCAGAAGGTGGAGCTTGCAGTGAGCCAAAATCACACCACTGCACTCCAGCCTGGGTGACAGAGAGAGACTCCGTCTAAAAAAAAAAAAAAAAAAAAAAGGCATGTCCACGTTATAGCATGCATCAACACTTCATTCCTTTTTAAGGCTGAGTAATAGTCCATTGTATAGAATATATAATCACCTTTTATTTATCCATCAGTGGAAGGACATACAGACCATCTCTACTTTTTGACTATTATGAACAATGCTGCTATGCACATTCATTTACAAGTTTTTGTGGGGATATATATTTTCATTTCTTTTGGGTATATTCCTAGGAGTAGAATTGCTGGGCTACATAGTAACTGTATTTTAAAATTTTTCTGGAACTGCTAGATGATTTACCAAACCAGCTACACCATTTTATACTCCCACCAGCAGCATATAAGGGTTTCAGTTTCTCCACATCTTTTCCAACATTTATCATTGTCTGTCTTTTTTATTACAACCATCTGAGTGGATGTGAAGTGGTATCTCATTGTAGTTTTGATCTGCACTTCCCTGATAGCATATTTTCATGTGTTTCTTGGCCATTTGTATATAGTATTAGAGAAATGTCTATTGAAATCCTTTGCCAATTTTTTAATCAGGTTACCACTCATTGTCTTTTGCCACAAAATCTATTCCTATTAATGATATGCCAAACAGTCTGGTTCTCCTCCATGATATGCTGCTCCTTGGCCCCACTGATGGCAGACATGTAACTTGCTTCAGCCAATAAAATGTAAGCAGGAATGTCAGTTCCAAGCAGAAGTTTTAAGAGCCAGTTGTGGGTTCACCATATCTCTTTTCTGTCTGCCACAAGCAATTTGTTTTAGAAAGAAGCTATTCCATCAGCATAAGTTCCACACTAGAGATGACATGGAGCAGAACCACAGCTGATCCCCAGTGGACATGTAGCATTTGCTATGGTTTGGCTGTGTCGCCACCCAAATATAATCTTGAATTATAATCCCCATAATCCCCACATATCTAGGGAGAGACCTGGTGGGAGGTGATGGGATCATGGGAGCGGTTTCCCCCGTGCTGTTCTCATGACAGTGAGTTCTCACTAGAGCTGATGGTTTTAAAAGGGCCTCTTCCCCCTTTACTCCTCATTCATCTCTCTCTCACCTGCAGCCATATGAGATGTGACTCCTCCCCTTTCACCATAATTGTAACTTTCCTGAGGCTTCCCCAGCCATGCAGAACTGTGAGCCAATTAAACTTCCTTCCTTTATAAATTACCCAGCCTTGGGTGTTTGTTTCTAGCAGTGTGAAAACAGACTAATACAGCATTTGTTTTTGTAAGCCACTCAGATGCTTGGGGACATTTGTTACTGCAGCATAACCTAGCCTGGCCTAGAGGACACACTTATCCTATGTGACTGGCTCCACTGTCCCTCCAGGCTCCTTGACATGGCCTATGAGGCCCTGAAGATCAGGCTTGTTGACCTATACAGCCTCATTTTTAGGCCATTCCCTCAACCACCCTATCCTCCAGACAAGATAAAATGCATTCAGGCCCTGGAATTTACTTCTTCCTCTCTCTTTCTCCCTCTCCCTAACCTGACTTTGCCCAAGTATTCATTATTACTGGATTAATATAATATTAATAGCTATATTTGCCTAAATATTTTCTATGCACAAGACATATGTGTGTATGCATGTGTACACACACATCTTGTGCATTGTTGTCAGATAAAATACATATGTGTGTGTATGTACACACATACGCACACACACATATATGTATATATTTGGTCTGACAGCAAC